TGTCAATTGTTGATAAGTTTAGATCTCATTATTAACTTGATAATGTTTCAAATGATCAACTGATTAACAATCAATATTTTGTTAATAATCATCTCATGTTATTAGATTGGTCAATTGGTTAATTGTTTGAGTTGATTGTTTGTAATTAAAATAATAACATAATTATTATTGATTTTGTGAAATCTCATTCAGCCAATTAAACTTTTTCATTGTTGTTGTGATCAAAAGTTAATCATGATAATGATTTTAGTCAAGTAGCTCTTGATTGTTGATTGTTTTTCAACAATTTAAATCATCAACTGAATTGATTTACCCAAACAAAACCAATTAAATCAATCAACTAAATTAGTTTACAAACAAAAATGAGTAACCACAATTAAGTTTCAAGTTACACACTTGAAACAAATTGATCACCATCATCATCATAAGTAATTAGTTAATTGTATTGATTTGACGACTGAAACAATTAGTTAATTAGCTGATTGCATTTATATATACAAAATTGTTAGATTGTAATTCATAATGATAATACTAATTAGTGAATACAATTTTAATTACTGTTGTAATAATATCTGAATATGAATCAATTAATTGTTGTAAATGAAGTAGATTTAATTTCCTGTGTTAATTGTAATTGGAAACAAAATTTTTTCCGTGAATTTAATTTAATTAAAGTAAATTATAAGTGCGTGTTGATATTAATTTGATTATTTCAATTGTAAAATTAATAAATCACTTCTTGAATTGATTGTGATGATAAATGATTTAAGGATAAACAATTAAACAGCATAATTAAAGGGATATAAACCTTTGATATCATAATAATAATCAAATTTAAACCTTTCGCTGTGATGATGATAATTTGTTGATTGTAAATGCAAAAATAAAATAAGACAGGTTAATCATGATGATAATCTTGGTGAAATAATAACTTTGTAATGGTTGTATAATAATAATAATAACAGTTTATGATTATTATTATCTGATTGTTACAAAGATGATGATGAAGGTAAAGGTAATCAGCCTGAGGGCTGAAACGATGAAATAATTTGGTAATTTTTAAGTCATAATTTATTTTGGTGAACTTAATCAACGATTGGCTTGGATTCTTGGTGCTTAGCGTTGATTGTCATGTTACAGAATAACAGAAAACTCCCTTTGGGAGATAAGAAAGGGAGAGATACTCACCAAATCACCTTAAAATATCATCATCATCATCATCTCTCTCTCTCTCTCTTGAATACCAGCAAAAACCAGCTTATAAATATATTTATCTTTCAATGGTTTTGCGTGTTCACTCAATTTTCAGGTTGAAATTTTCACTTTGTTGATGGGAGAAACTGTTTGGCCAGAGAGAGAGAGAGAGAGAGAGATAGTAAGTTAATGAAGAGGTCCCGAGATATATCATGAAAGAACCCACCTTAAGATGATGATCATCTTTCATCTTTATCATGATGCTGAAAGAGAGAGAGAGAGAGAAAAGTATTTCATCAATGGTTAATTTGAATCAGTACCAAAGTTATTATTATAAACAACATTCGAATATCTTACTTCTCTTACTTTTCTTTCTCTTTTATCATCATCACTTCTACCTCAATGCCCTTTGGCCCATCCCAAGATCTCCAATGTCTTTCGGTCAACAAAATGATAACATAACTTGGCCATTGGCTATTCTTTGATAAAAAGGTTGTTCCCATAGGTGGAGCTAAAGAAGAAGCAGAAAAACAACAAGATAACCGACAAAAAATAGCAGCTGAAGAGAGAAGATGATTAACTAAATTACATAGAGTGATTGAGTTTATAAGAGAGAAAGAAAGAGAGAGAGAGAGAGATAAAGAGAACTGGGTGGCTTAGGTGAAGATGGATGATAATGGGGGAGGTGAAGAGGTGAAGGTTCACCAACAATGAAACGAACCATAGAGAAAAAGAAAGAGAGAGAAAATGAGCCATAATTATTTTTGAATTTTTGGGTTATTATTATGAATCCGATTCGAGAGAGAGAGAGAGAGAGAGAGAGAGAGAGAGAGAACGATGATAATATTATGGAGCCCGTGACCCAACAGGGAGAGTGAAAGAGAGAGTAGATGATTAAGATGAAGATATTGAAAACTTTCTCTCTCTCTCTCTCTTTCACCCAAAATATCATTTCACCTTCAACTTATCATCTTATCAACTTACCCTGAGGTCTTTTTACCTTGATAAGTGTGTTTTGTGGTTAGAGTTACATTTTCATAGGTAAAATTGGCGATGAAAAAAAAGCAAAAGAAAACTTTTCTCTCTCTCAAATAATGATAATAATAGAAACATAATGATAACAATATAATATAATATTCCTAATATAGGTTAGATTATAATTCTATTCAATTTAATAAATTGCGGTTTGGAAAATAAAATAATATCACTTTTTTGTTCTGTTCATTGAGAATCAGTTTAATGTATATTATCATGATTATTACTGCATTGAGGGTGGTCATCAAAATCAAGGTGATTTTATCATAATGATAATGGTCAAGAGGGAGATTCATCTTCATCTTCATCTTCATCTTCATCTTAATTTTCATCTTCATCTTTACCTTGAAAGATCAAATGTTAAGAAGCATTTACGTTACTTATTGGGGGAAAATGGGCGATTCATGATGATAAGGGGAGTTGATTATCTACTTTTTTATCTTCATCTTCATCTTTATCATCATCATCATCATTATCTTTCATTGTCTGACAATTTGAGAAAAAGTTATCTTCATATTCATGGAAGAGAGATGTTAATATTAAAGGCGGGAATTCATGAGATTTACCAACAGAAAATTATTCAACTTTATCTCCAAGATCAACAAGTTAGAATATGATATTATTTAAATTTCCATCTTAATCATCATCGTTAATGATAACGTCAAAATCTTAATTCGTTAATGATTATCAAGGAGAATTGTTATTATACCAGAAAAAGAAATTAGATAAAAAGTTATTCCAAATGATAATGTTAATGTTAACTTCTAATATTAGGAAACAATTTACTAATCATGATTAACATAAATTGGATTATGAATATGAAGAATTGGTAGAATTGATTAACTATTATCAATATTTTTTTTAGAATTTTATTATTTTTAATTCTCCTATTGATTAGGTTCATCTTTTTTTCTCTCCAATGATAATCATATGTTATTATGTAATTTTCCAGGGGAAAGTTAATTTACCTGTGATGATGATGATGGAACTTGTTATTTATTCTGTTCACGAATTTCTTGTTTTCAGAATTTACCTCAAATTTCATGATAATTTGAATCCATTGTTTGGTTTGCTCTTTTTTTTCTTGTCCATTAAATTGTAGTTTAAAAGTGAGACAAGAAAACAAATTATTACCTTAATCATGTTGATGGAAATTGAATTTATGCTTTCAATGAATTTTTCCGCTTCTTCAGTTTTCCTCAGTTAATTATTAATTGTAATCTCGCTATTATTATGATTAAGTTAATTGAATTTCTGGTAACGAACTTTTTTTTTCTTCCTCTCCTACCGTTTGTTGTTATTTATGTTTCCATTTTAATTTCTCTTCTTGTTTTGGTAACTTAATTATAAGAAAAGTTTTTTAGTACGTGTTTCTTTTTTACGATCGCAATTGATCACTGATATTATTTAACTATCATAATTTAGTTGATTCATTTGTTTTTCCTCTATTAATTGTTACTCTTCAATCTTCAATTCAACTTTTCTACCATTGACCTTATAGGTTAAATGTTAGATTTTTCTATTTCTCTGATAGGTTAATATGTTATTATCATTTTTTTTTCTCTTTTGATAGAAACAAGTTTATTATTAGTAAACTTGTTTTCGTTAATTGTTGTAACAATTAAAGAGCATCTAGTGACCTCTTTTGTCTTTTTTTCAAACTAAATTCGGTTTAGTTGTTTTTCTTTCCGATAGATGGCAGAGTTGATTCTTCGTTCCGATAAATTGAATTTCGGAATTGATTTTTGGAATTAATTAATTTCAACTTTTATAATGATGAGTGATTATTGACTTTTCCAATAATCGATTAAGAGATGATATTTGTTGGGTGAAATTGGTGAGGATCGATAAGGAGAAAGAAAAGTTGAAAAATCGATGATTCGTTTTATCTGATTGATGGAAAATCGATCATTTTGATGAACGAAAACATCACTGATTTAATATCTTTAAATCTATCAAATGATTTTGCGTCACTTAATTTTCAGGTGGAATTTCCAGATTGTTGATGGGGAAACAGTTGAGAGAGAGAGAGAGAGAGAGAGAGAGAGTTAATGAAGAGATCCCGAGATTTATATCATGAAAGAATTCACCTTGAAATGATGATAATCTTTCTCATCTTTCATGATGACGATGATGAAGTAGAGAGAGAGAGAGAGAAAAGCATCTCATCAATTTGAATCAGTACCAAAGTTATTCTTATAAACAACATTCGAATATCTTAATTTTCTTACTTCTCTTGATTCTCTTGATTCTCTTTGCTCTTCTCTCTCTCTTCCTCTCTCTTCAAACATCATCACTTCCACTTAAATACCCTTTGGCCCATCACAAGATCTCAAAAGTCTTTCGGTCAACAAAATAAGATAACATAACTTGTCCATTGGCTATTCTTTGATAAAAAGGTTGTTCCCATAGGTGGAGTTAAGAAAGAAGCAGAAAAACAACAAGAGAAGCGACAAAAAGTATCAGCTGAGGAAAGAAAAAGAAGATGATTAACTAAATCACACAGAGTGATTGAGATTATGGGAGAGAATGAGAGAGAGAGAGAGAGTGAGAGATATTTCAACTACCTGACGTTCCATGTAGATTGTGTTAAAGAGCCATTTGCTCCCCCATTGCCTGAGTGTTTAACTTTTAATTTGTTGATCCTTTTAATCATCTAGTTTGGTGTTGGAAAATTGGCTAAGTTTTAATCGTTTTTTAAATTGTGTCTTTCAGAATCTTTTACATCATTTCGTTTGACTTGTTGATAACCTCATCCAATGGATTTAGACATGGAGCAACTTGTTGATTTGTGTCTCAGCAATGGGATAATTAAGGCTCCTGGTGGAGGAGATTCCGGAGGTTCATCTGTTGTTGGTGTTATTACTGCCACCGGAGGTAAAGGAGGTACTGGTGGTGGTGGAGGTCGTGGTTGTGGTGGTGTTGGTGTTGGTGAATCCATCGGTGTTGGTGGTGGTGGTGGTGGTGGTGGTTGTGTTGATGGTGGAAGGAAAAATTTATACTCTCTCAAAGTGACCAGTAAACCTTTGAAAGAACCCATGGCCTCTTATCTTAATAATCGAGGGTACAAAGTTTGGAATCTCTCCGAGGAACCGATAATCGTTCAATCAACACCAAGTTATCATAATAAAAAAATTTCTCCCTCACTTCGTTCACGTAATTATTTAGGAAAATTGATTGAAGAAACGGTTACCGATCAATTGGATTGATTGGATTGATTGTTTCATTTGGAAAAGAACTTTTTTTTTTATCGCCTCAACAATTTTAGATGAAAATCTACACTTAGTTAACTATTTTAATGGAAAATCATTTTAACTCAAAATTATTTTAATAGAAAATTATTTTAACACCAAATTTATATTAATAAAAATACTTTTAAATGAGAATTTCAATTTGTCCGCCAAAAAGAAAAAATTTCAACTTGTCAGCTGAAAGAGAGAAAATAAAAAATCGGCTCATCAGCTCAAGAATTTGCTGCTGTGGAAATAGCTTTTAAATTGTTTCTCTTATTTGTATTTAATTGTTTTCTTTTTTAACAATAATCAATTATTCGGTTAATTAGTTAATTGGATTTTTTTTCTTTATTCCAATCACATGGAGGATTATTCTAATAGACAGAATGTTAATGGTGATCGGTTAATAGGTTCTGATTGTAATTCTTTGTGTGGTCCAGTTGATTACAATTGTTTGAAGCTTAATCTTGGTGCCGAATTTGATGATTGGCAGGAATTTGTGGAAGCCGTTGAGGAGTTTCAAAAGAAAACCCGAATCAGATTAACCATAACCACAAGTAGAAGAGTTCAAAATGGCGAAGATGAAGATGATCCTACTGGTGAGGAGAGAATTTCCATCGAAAATGAGACCAATACCTGTGAGAGTGAAAGTAGCTCAATTAATAGAAAACGAAGAAAGTTTCAATACAAATATCTAAAGTTAACGTGTAAACATTATGGTTGCTATCGAAGTACATCCAAAGGAATACGACCTAATCAACCTACCAGGAAAATTAAATGTCCGACCTACATTTATGCGAGTCTTGACCATTATAGACAACGATTGGTAATCAAGCAAATGAAAGTAAATTGTAACCATGAGTTGAAAGATGATGAACAAGTTTTATTTCCTAAACTGTTCAGATTTTCACCATTTCCTGATAATCCACCTTCAAGTTCAAATGAATCATCTGATTGTTCACCAATTGTATCATCTCCAAGTAAAACAACTTGTAAAACGTTAATTGTACCATTAAGATCATCGGTAAACGAACTTTTGACCTCTGGTAAGATTGGATGTGATCATAGAGCCGAAGATGTTTGTCAAGCAATCAGATTAACACCCGATGATTTAACAGCCATTCAAACGAAATTTTCTTCTCTTAACAAAAAAGATCAAGATGATCTTTTATCGAACTGGATTAAAGTGGAAAACAATGTTACCGAAAACCGATTGAAACAACCTAATCCTCTTCAACTTTTAATCCATTTACCAACAATTAATGGTAACCTTTTACCTCTTTGCTGTGATACATTTATTCATATTTTATCAATTCCAATTCAACGTATAAATGATCTGATTTGTGAACAATTAAGGAAAACAAGTCACCGGGAAATCAGTATAAAAATTGTCAAGGAAAGTCAATCTAACCAAGAAAGTGATCGGCAAATTAATCCAACAACCATTTTAAATTCACAATCAAAGGAGACAAATTTACAAGACAATCAAATCTATTCAATTAATTTAAACCATAACAATCAAAGACCAAATCAATTTGATCGAAATGAATTAACTCAAAGCCACAATTCACCTTCTAATACCAATGAGATTACAAGTGACAATTTAATAACTTTGGGACTCTCGTCATCTTCAGTATCAACAGATAATCAAGTTAAAAGTAAACAAATTAATGATTCAACATCATTGACAAACAATTTATTAATGGACACAACCAATCAATCAAATAATTTCCGTTATCCATCAATCAAAGTGAGTCAAATAGTCAATGGTTTCTCTGTTGATATTGATTGTGAATTTCAGATGAATCTACAAGGAGTTTCTTTGATTAACAATTCGCAGACAGTTAAATTAATCATTGAACCAGAATAATCTGAATCCACTCAATTTACTTGGATGATTAATAATTTTAACTAAATCTTTTTTTCTCAACAAATTTTCTATTTTGGATCAACTATTTTCTTATATTCAATCAATTGTATCTTGAGAATTTGAAGTTTTGTTTTAGAAACTCAAACTCTTTCCTCTCCCTTTCCCTGAACATAAAGTGCAATCAACTGATCAAAGAAACGCTAGTGAACATTAATTGGTAATTACATGAAAACTCAAAGATTTAATTAACGAAAATTTTATACTATCATCGTGCTTTGTTTGTGAAGTGAGAGAGAGAGAGAGAGAAAAATAACAATCAGCTATGGTGATATAAAAAAGAGAAGACGATTCACTGAGTAATCATAGAGAAAGATTTATAACCTTGATGGATGATTAGAAAGAGATTGAAATGAAAAATAATTAAATTTGTTTGCGTTTTGGTTTTAAGATTATGAAAAATTAAAGATTTTAGTCTAAATCTGAGTACCATTGAAATTGGGATTAGTGTTTGGATCAGGGTTAATTGTTGAAGGGAAATTGGCATCTGTAAATGTTTCTAGTGGGAAAAAGTCTCGTTCTGATGTTTCCAGAGAGGGTAAAGTGGACAGTTCAGAGGTCTGATCAACACTAATGTCCATTGGTTCGGGTTGAGGATCTTGATTGTAAGGCTGAAGTAGATTGGGTGTAATTAAGTTTTCACTGGACTGGTTCAGAGAGATTGATTCTTGAATTTCAGTGTTGAGATCCGTTTGTATTGATTGCTTCAAATTATCTTGACTTGAAAAAATAGGAGTGTCAAATTGATTGAATGATAACGGTGGCGGTGGCGGTGGTAATTCTAGAAGTGCTATTTCTGATGTTTCTGGTCCAGGGCATGAAACAATTTCCTGAGAAACTGATAGGCAAGGTTGAGGAGAAGGTTGTTTCTCATGATTATCTTCATGAACTTCTTGAAACTAGAGGAGAGAGAAAGAGAAAGAGAAAGAGAAAGGTGAAAAAATATCTCAATGGATGAAAAGTGTTTATTCAATTTGATTGGAGAGAAAATTGAAAAATCATCTTACCAGTTTGTCGATTTCTGAATTGTGCTGTTTGAGATCACTATGGAGAATACAAGTGTGATGGCGACGAATTGATATGACAGGATTAAGACATGGTGGTTCTCCTGCCGCACAAGGTCGGAAAAGGACCTGATTAGAATCGAATAAAATATCTAAAGAGAGGAGAGAGAAAAAGAGATTTAGAGTTTACAGTGATTGTGATTATCGATTAAATTATTCCAAGGGTAATTGACTTACGAGATTTGCAATAATGGGACAGGGGAAGTGCTTGATTTTGACATGGAACATCTTTGTTGAAGATACATCTTGCATAGATTTTAGGTTTGAAGTTTTCTCCTTCCAGAAGAGCTCGTCTCTTCTCTCTTGCTTTGTCTTTAAGAAGAGCCTCTGGTCCTCGATATCGATGATATTTCACTAGAGCTCTTAATCTGTAAACATCTTCCTCCGAATAACCCGAATCAGATATATCGAATTCGCCATTTTCTTCCATCATGGCTTGAGCCTCTTTCTCATTCTGTAAAGATTGAAGATATCTTTTGTACTTTTCACGAAGTAGATACTGTAAATGTTTAAATTGTCCTATGTACAGTGATTGTAATTTTAACATTTTATCTCTCAATATGAGAGAAACTTCTTCTGCTGTATAAACACCCGCATGTTTTAATGGATCATCTTGATCACTGTCAAAATTTTCCGAATCCGAATCAATTAAATCTGGACGAAGAACATCTTCCAACATTGGGTTACTCGATTCTTCATCTGATTCTTGATCCAATGATTCAATAGCCGCTTCAGAGATTTTATTTCGTAAATAGTCACTTGCTGTAATACTGTTATCATCATCTTGTTTCACCCAATTGATATTAGCTCGTTTTCGCGTTGGATCTTGACTGTGACTGTAATGTTCCAATTGAAGTAATAATCCTTTCAGTCCTTCCCGTTTAGCCTTTGCTTCTTCAATATTTTGTTGCTACGCGGGAACAAAGAAAGAGAATCAAAAAGAAAGAGACATAAAGAAAGAGAGAGAGAGACAACCAGGGAAAGAGAGCAATTTGATGAGAGAGAAAAAGATGGAGAAAAAAATACATTAATATTTTAATCAGCACATAAAGAATTAGAGAGAGAAAGAGAGAATGAGATAAAAAAAGAGAGAGTAAAGAAAGAGATTCAACCAAGAGATAAAATGATCAGGGAGAAAGAGAGAAAGGGAAAACAGAAACAAGAAAAGGAAGACATAAGAATAAATAGAAAAAAATGAAAAAAGATTATTCATTAACTAGGGTTGTCTAATTTTCTCTCCTTTTTTCTCTCATGTTACTTACCAATTGCTGATGTAATTGTTGGTGTTTCTGCTTTAGAAACATCTTCTTAATATGCCAAGGACACAGAACTTGACTCGCTCTATCAGATTTCCTTGCAGCATTTGGACATCTTTTGTTGGTAATTGGATGGCTAAAGGTGCATTGTTTGAAAGGAGCATTTTTATCAACCAAAATATGACGAATACAATAATCAAAACCTTCTAATTTTGTTTGAAGGCAAATTCGGTGAATGTAGGAGCACAAATCTTTACCATCATTTGACCTGTTCATTGTCAAGGTAAATTCACTTTTCTCTATTCAAGGTTAAATTGTTAGTTAACTAATGTTCACTAGATAGAAAGAGACAATTTTGTTATTTTCTTCACTTTTCTCAATAACAAGAAATTCAATTTCAATTCATTCAAAAAAGTGAATCACAAAAGAATATCTAGTTACCGATTTTCTCACCAGATGGCGAAACTCGTCGAATTTCGCGCCAATTTCAATGTGAGAAGAGAAAAGGTTAACAAGAACAATTAACTAATTGGAACAATCGAAGGACAATTAATTTGGATAAATTGCGATTTCGCAATTTAATGATTGTGTTTTAAGTTGGGGAATTTGTGGCGTTTCTTGTGATACTAAATTTGTTATTCTCTTTGTTGGAAGTTTGTTTAGTTTACTAATTGTTTGGATTTTTTTTTCTTCTAAGACTTTTGATAACAATTAGTTAATTGTTTGCATCTTTTTGATTTTTTTTTCTTTGGACAAATTGATTGGTTAACCAGATAAAATTTTTCTTCTGGTTACAATTGATTGTTAAATGTTAATAAAGTTGTTAATACTTTTGAAAACAAGGTTAACAATTTAAGTTTCACTATTTAATCATCCGACCTTGTTTGTTGATTGTTATTGTTTAATTTAACTGTTATCATAATAAACATAATATAATTTACTGATTGTGATTACTGAATGAATCACAATTAAACGTTTATCAGTGATATAAATCATTGAACTTGATTTGATAATCATTTTCGTTATTTACAGGAATTAAAATCAAACTTTGAATCTTCAGAGTCTTTAATCAATTTGATTGGTAACAATTTAACAGAAAATGTTTACAATCAATTGATTCCAATTCAAGGTGATTGTTGTAATTGAAAGAAAATTAAATTAAATCAAATTTTCCTAAAAAATTGAATAAAATTATCATTTTATTTTCTTCGTAACAATTTAATTACAATTTGATTGATTTTAATTTGAATTACTTGAAAAATTAACTCTACCCATGGATTATCATGTTAATTGAATTAAACAATAGAAAGATAATCAAAAAGTAATCAAAGTTTTGTTAATCACAATTTAACAAAACGATTGTAACAATTTAATTCTCTCTTAATTGTTTACCCAATAATCAGGTAAGTACAATTTAATTTCCAATGGTAATAAATTGTTATCTTAATTAACTTTTAACGTGGTGACAGCAAAAGGAATCAACAATTAAACTGATCAACAATTAGAATTAAAAATAAAACAACAATCAGTGCCTCGAATAAGTGATTAACTAATTGTTATCATGATTAGAATTAATTTCAACTCAATTTTTTTATAAATACAAAGTTTACTGATCACATAAAGAGTAACTAATTATAATTATCACAATCAAAATTAATTGATTGCAACTGATTAACTATTAATAACCAAACACCAGCTGATTGTCAATGTTGAATATCAATGGTGATAATTTGTTAATTGTTATCATTATATTTTCCAGATAATTTGATTGTTCTCATTGTTATCGATAAGTTAATTTGATTGTTGATCTGTTAACTCAATTAACTGCAACAATTAAAATCCCTTAGGCAACCTGATTAAGAGCCTTGAATGAAAATCTGGTTACAATTAAATTAAAAATTTAACGATGAGGTGAAAACATGAATTAACTTCATTTCTAAATGATTACAATTAATAATCAACAATTTTGGCTTCCTGACAATTTAACAATTTCTCATGCAATTTAATCATCGTCTTATAAAATTAAGTTAATGATGTTAAATTAGTGAACAATTTAAATAAAGTGTCGGGAAAAGTTTTTTAACCAACACGAATCAAACAATTCTAATTGTATTCTGATTAACTTTCCTAACGAGTTAAATATGTAAAGTTAATTGTGATTAAAAAAAGCACCAAGAATCATCATAATATTATCCCATATTAAATTTAACAATTAACAATTAACTGTGTGGACAATTAATTTCAATTAATCAAATCTGAATGGACAAAATTTTCCAACTCTCAAGAAAACCAAATCCAAATGGTCAACAATCAAGTGAACAATTAAAGTCTCTGTTAATTGTGATTGGTAATTTTAATATAACCAGAAAGTCAATTAACTGATTGTTTGTAAATTATAATCAAATATTTAATTATCTTCATCATGTTACAATCAAGAGTTACAATGAACAATTGATCAGAGATACAATTGTGATTAAATTGTTTGCAAATGGAAATCAATAAATGCTAATCAATGGATTTAATTGTTGGGCCTTAATTTCAATTGTTGATACTTAAATTGTTGATACAAGGATTAACTAATTTAGATAATAATAAAAGTAAATATTATTTAACCAGCAAAAAAAATCAAATCAAATTAAACTACAACAATCAAGCAAATACAAACAACTTGAATACCTTGTTGAAGTTAATTGTTATTTAAATCATTTCCCTTTATTTTTCAACAATTTAAATTTCCGTTGATTGGTGACCTTTAAATTGCTGCTATTTGATAAAGGTGGATGATTGTGATTATTAAAGCTGATTGTTTAATAATAATAATGAATTTTGATTGTTGTCATTATCAAAAAAGTGAATCAAAGTAAACAGTTAACAAGCAAACAACATGATTTAAATTTATACTGATCACAATTAGCAGTTAATCAATAAATTAATAAGCGTGACCATCGCCCACATTAACAATCAAGATTAATTATTAATCCAGAATACTAATCATACTAATAGCGATTTCCTTGATTGTAAGTAAAGTAAATTAAATTTAATTACATTGAAAAAAAAAGTGAAAAAAAAATTTTCCAATTGTTTGAAAATTAGATTATTACAAAATCCTAGTTACCTGATTATTGGGAATTGATTAACAATAACATAATCAAATTGCTTAATCATTCTGGACGTTTGATTGTTTATTACAAGAAAAATTAAATTGCTAATCACTGTCACTGTTAATATTACATTTTAATTGTCCTAGATATTGATAAACATCAGTTAACCAATGTAATTAACATGATAATGTTAATTGTGATGATGAAATGCTTCCGGGAACAGAAACTTTAATTGTGATAATAATAATAATAACGTTTAAATGTAGGTTTTTAAATCACTTTTACTTTTTCATGATTAACTTTAATTAAGTATTCAACAATCAAGAGACAGAAACAAAAAAAAGTGTCAACTTGCAATCTAAAGCATAACAATTAACGTTGATGATAAACAATTTAACTTAATCATTGTTGATGTCAATTCTCACAAGGAACGGGTTTACCCAACACCAACAATTAACTAATTATCATCAGTAATAGTAATTAACTAATGTTTTATCATCAGTGTCATCAGTTTTATTTCAAATTCATTAATTAATATACATTAAATTGAATATCAAATTACTGATTTAAAAGATTGAATCTACAAAACTGATTGATTATAAATCGTTGACCATCATCATCATGATCGGATGATGATACTTAATACCGTTAATCATAGTGATAAATAAGCAATTAAGTTAATCATGGAATCATGATTAAGTATGAAACAGGTAAAAGCGAGAGAGAAAGAGAGGATTAATCAATGGCAACAATCAACTAATCATGATGATTATTTGTTATGGAAAAATTTTCTCATCTTTTTGTTTGGTTACTCGATCATCAAAACAATGATGCAAATGATGCAAATGATAGGAGATGATGAGGATGAGGATGATTAGTGACACACCCGAATGGTCAATGAATGAAATCAATACAAAGAAAAAAACCCAAACGGATGTTAAAGACTATTGAATTGAAGTTCGAAAAAAAAAGTTCCAAGGTTTTTCTTTTGTCTCTTGATTTGCTAATCAGTTACGATTCCAATTGTTTGGACAATTTTTTTTCTCATCATCATGGTAATAGATTCATGGACGATAATATCTGAAGAAGATGATCAATATTGGCTGAGGAATAAATTTCGTTCCAATAAAAGAAAAAAAAATAACAAAATCGAAAAGGAAATGATATTATTTTCCAAAGTTTCGAATTCAATTGTTTCCATCAGTTTCGTTTCTAATTCATTTTCTTCTCTCTCACTATTTACTCATGAATTCTGAATTTCTATCCATGTCCTTGGTGATCATCATCATTATGATCATCGAAATATTTTGTCACAACATTGACCTTGACGATTCGCATGGCTGGTCTTATAATCGTTGTAGTATTTTACTTGCTCACGCTCTTCCTCATCTTCTTATCATTTCTTAAATTCTGTACCTTGTATTTTATCATCATCATCATCATCTTCTTCATCATCACCTGGTGAACATCTTCATTGTTTACACCTTATTGTTATCTATTGTTTACTGAGTGTTCCAATCTCTTGAAAATAACCTTAACTTTAGATTTTGTATCGATTAAATTTAAACTTGATTTCGATATTTTCTCAATTGTTTTGGCTTAATTTTACCTCTAATTATGTAACAATTATAATCGTTGTCCTTTACAATCAATTCATCATTGTATTATAACAGGAAGTCTGCTTATTATCAATTGATTGTTGTTCCCAATTGTTTACCAATAATCATGAAAATTTAATCCATCAAACTGATTGGTTTATCGTATTGATCATTGTTATTAATTAAAATCCGATAATAATTAATTTCTATACACTTTAATTCATTAACCGATAACCAATTAAATATTTACAATTACAAAATACAAAATTTCATTCAACATACAATTTGTAATAATCAAATAAATTAAAATCTTATCAATCAACGCTGGTAATTAATAATGATAATAAAATTATTCGTAATTAATTTCACCACAATTAAATATATACAATTTAAATTTTTTCTAAATTAAATTGAAATTAACAATAAATTGTAAATGTATATATAAATTACTCAATGAATTAATCAACAATCAAAGTGAAATTTTAACAAATCATTGACCAAAAGTTTGCTGACCATTGACTAGATCATTATCATAGCATTGGAATATAATTATAATGATTAAGCGCAACAATTTACTCGTAATTAACAAAAGGTTTAAATTTAAATTGTAATGAAAAAACAATCGTTAACAATTAACATTATTTATGATAATCAGAAACAAAGAATAAGAGAAAAAGTTTTTTCTTGGAGAAAAAAAAATGAATCAATAACAGGTAAGAACAATAGAAAACAACTTAATGAGTGATTAGCACCTTAACACATCGTTTACATTCATCATCCTCATCATCTTATCATCCTTCAGGGTGGGGCAGAGAGAGAGAGAGAGAGAGAGAGAAATTCGAAAACATGTGTAGGATGAATTAGAACTTGATACTTTTCTTCATTCTATCTAATTACCTTTTCGTTTATTTCATCATTTGTTTCCCTTCAGAAGAAAAAACTTTTTAATCAACTATTGAGTTCGCTTCAATCGTGATTATTTATCATCCTCATCACTCCTCCTTCCCTCCTCCAAACATCATCATCATCATCACCAGAATAATGGAAATGATGATGATGCTGAAACCAAACGAACCTCCTTCCAATTTAAACCTAGAATTAAATTGAAGAAGAAAAAAAGTTGTAACCATTATCATTTTACCAACGGTGAATGAAGATGATGATGAGGAAGATAAATGATGAGAGGGGATGAATGAAGGTGCTTTGAGGTGGGTTCTTTCTGGTGCCTTTTATCATCCACTCCTTGTGTGTATCATCAAGTAGCCAGCAAAACAATGGCCTGGTTTTGTTTATTTTTATCATCATCAAATTAAAGGGACCAGGTAAAAGTGACGGTCTAATCATCGTCATCATTATCATCATCATCATCATCTTCATCTTCATCATCATTTGTACCCTTTTTTTTCAAGATGATGATAATGATGATATATTAGAGGATTGATGATAACTCTTTGACATAGAAAGAGAAAAAGTTTTGTCCAATTTGTTTGTCTCACTCACTCACTTTTTCTTGTCTTCCATCATCATCATCACACTGATTTCACTCCCTGTGCCTTTTATTTTCATGTTATTATTTCAATCTTAATCATCTCATCATTCATTTCATTTCATTCATGGTGATTTATCATTAAACTTTAATTGTTACCCTTTTGTGTTAGTTAATTGTGTTCGTGTGTGTGGTTGTATATTTGTCCTTATCTTCATCTTTTGTTGCTCTCATCTCATCATGTCATCTTCATCATCATCATCATCAACAACAACAACAACAACCATTTTGTCAACAATCAATTATGTGGATACAAATGATTATCTTTGTTAATCACAATTAAATCAATTGCTAAGTGTTACCGAGTTAATCTCAATCAATTCATCAAATTGTTCAATTTTAATTGTCCATGAAAAGTCAACTATAAACAATCAATGGTTAGTGATTGATTATTTTTACAATTCTGATAACAATTAACCTAAACAATTAAAAATACTAATTCAATATTCAATTTATCAAATTTAACCTTTCACTGTGATAATAATTTAATTGCTGCTCATCTAAATGATTATTTAGGTTTTCATGTTAAAATTATGGACAATTGTTTTGATCAATCAGATACAATTAGTTAATTGTCATGAATATGAAAAGTTTTAATCAGTTGGACAAATTATTTTGCTTCTAACACTTTGATTTATCAATTAACCATTAGAAATGTATGTCACTGTGTTGATTAATTAATTAACTTTGGGAAATGAATCAGCATGATTGTGATGATTAAATAGATTGTGCCTAGAATCATGATTAACTGTAATATATTAGTAAAACAAAATCAATTTATATTAACAATTAGGTGAGAATCAAGAAATAATTGATTTAATTGGGTTTTACTTTATTGTATTGATAATATTTGGCGTTAATCAGTTGACATAATCAAAAATCAACAAATCATTAATTACAATTAAACTGCCAAATCTGAGGAAATCTTGTTAACATCAATCATTGGTAATTAAAAATTAACAATTACGAGTTAATTGTGATCGTAAATTTGATCAACTTATTGTTAAAACAACAATTAATTGGTTAATATTATAAAACAATTTCAATCTAATTGTAATTAGTTTATCTCTTAACTATTGAATTACTTAATTTCTTCAAACAATGTTGATTTAATACAATTTAAATTGTAACTGATAGGGTTACAATTAAGGTGAATATTTAATATTGTTAATTGTTACCCTGACTAAATGAATCAAAATTAAATATGTTTATGGGTCAGTTTGAGTAGCAATCAAATTTCCGGGGTTTGTCTTAATTTGTTGCTGATTCACTTTTAATTGTTTGATATCAGACTAATCAAATCAACAAGATAATCAACAAACTGTTGACCATTTTAATTGTAATAATTAAAACAAAAAGTTATCACTTTTCACCAACTATTGACACATTTTAACACAATCAAGATAACATAGAAAATGAATTAACCTTAATCAAGTTAACCAGTTGATTAACAATATTTAACCTTTGGTAATAATAATTAAACACTTTTAGTTAATCATGTTGTTAATTGTTTTATCCATTTGAGATAAATTTAAAACGAGACAAGGTTAACCATATGAAGATGATTATCTTTCACCATTATTATCAATTGCATTGTCTCAATCAATGTTCAATTGTTGATTAACACTCGTTTCTATTGAAATGTAAAAATTGAGGACAATTAAAAAAACTGATCAGTTAATTAACTCTATTATTTTGTTGTTTTTCTCATTGTTGATTATTTAAAACAAACACCATTGGAAACAAAAGGCCGACGAAGGACAATCGAGTGGTAAATTCAATGAGACTCGAAGCAAGAGTGTAATTTACCGAAGTCCGGACGGTAAATCGATAACCAAACACACTTCGATCCACATAACACGGGTAAATGGTTCTAATCGAGGTTCGAACGAGGGGACAAATTTGGGACGAATCACCGGCAGAGAATCGCGATCAAGTCCATCTCCATCATCAACTGACCGTTACCAGCGACCATCAAGTCAACCATTAGAGACGAAAAATGGATCAATTTATTATCGATGTAAATCGACCTCACCCAATCGATTCAACACACTGCCTAAAGGCTCACGGGATCCGATTAATGGGACATCCCTTTCGACATCTTCCCTAATCACTGGTATTAATCCTGCCATTCGACGCACCTCAAGCTCCTTACAGATCAGTGTTAATATAAGATCACCTTCGGCAAATGATCTTATCTATCGACAATCTCGATCACCACTGCCCATCCGTCGAAGTCAAACAACCTTTGAAAGTTCATGGGTTCTATCATCTTATCCACCATCAACATCTCCACGTCTTCAAAGTTTATCGTCATCACGAATTGGTGACGCTCAGCATCATAGTCGAAGTAGTAGTAGCTTATCATTCCGATCAACCTCACAATTAGCTTCTAATCAGCCGTCAACTGTAACTGCCGATAAAACTGTCCAAAAAGAGTCTGGCGAAAGTACAATTAAGAATAAAGAAAGTCCCAAACAATCAACTTCGGCATCACCACCAACACCTACACCTCGAAAATCACATTCACAAGTAAACACAAACACGGGGACAAACGGTTCACCTTCACCAACGAAAGTTTCACCTTCCCGAACATCTCAAAGACCTCAGGTTTCACTTGATCTTGGCCGTGGACGGAAAAGTGACCCATCACCTTCTCGAATTTCAATAACTAGAGAGACAATTTCCTCTCGAACAATTAAACCTAAAGATGTTACAATCATCGAACCCGTTAAACTAATATCAAGTAGATCGTCAAGTCCAGTTAAAGGGTCAATTTTACGAAGTCCATCCAGAGATCGGGTAATCAGATCAACGGAGAAAAGTAGTGACAATTTAATTACCAAGGAAACAACGGCAGAAAATGAGGTCTACGAAAAAACATTGATCATTCCACTCGATGGATGGACAGTGTCCGATGCCGCTGAAAAGGGTTACCTCAATATGGAAACGGGAAATTTCACCGTACCAGGAAGTGACCATCAAATTAACCTTCGTGATTGTTGCCGATTAAAGATTATCAATCCTTCTTCGGGAGAGGTTGTAGATCCAAGTCGACCCTTCACACGACCAACTAATTTTAACCTCGCATTTGAACGTGGCCTTATCGATTCTAACGGTAACTATCTGGCCAGTGATCGTGAACCTAAACTGTCACTGGCTCAAGCATTGGAACGCAAGTACGTTACACTTAACGACAAGGTTAAAACGAGCAGTTTGATGGCTCGAAAAGTGATCAAAATAACTCAATCGCGAAGTAATCAAGTAGCTGTCACTTTGGAACCCGAATTGTTGGTTAAAGCGAGAAATGAATCATCGCAATTGAATAAACAATTTACAATGATGGAAAGTCAATCAACAGGTAATGAGAATAAAATATCAGATGAATCAGGTGAAGATGAGGAACATAATGTAACTGAGATCGCATTTATTGATGACGATGATGATGAAGAAGATACAGAAAATGAAGACCACGAAGATGAGCTTATTGGTGAAATCGATTCCAGTGATTGTGATGGACGAACTACTCGAACAACGATTGAGACAATTCGAGCTGATGATTTAACAACCGAAACAATAACAGCTGATCTGATTGTCGGTGAGAATTTATCTAACCTTGATTCTGATTCAGGAGATGAAAACTGGTCGGAAATTGTTGATGAAATTAGCCAACGACTCGATATAATCAAAGAGAACGAGAAATTTCAATCAAACTATTCAAGTTTATCGAGTTGGCTTGAGACGATTGAGTCACGAATGAACAATTTAGGTCCAATTGGTAACGATTTGAAGTTAATATCTGCTCAACGGAATAAATTGTCGTCCATACGAACTGAATTTAAGAATCAATTGGTCAATCGTCAGGCTTTCATTTCTTCAGGTAAACTTTTGTCCACTCGAATGGATCCTAATTGTAATGAATATCAACAAATTGACCGATTGACCAGCAAACTGTTGATCCAATGGCGTAAATGTGAATCATTGTTAACCGAGAAGGAGAAAAGTGTTAAAAGCTTGGATTCTTTTATCGAATCATTTGGTGGTAAATTGTCATCATTAGAGAATGATATTGATTGTTTGATTTCCGAACTTGATGATTTGAAAATGTCCGATGTGAAAGTCGGTGAAAAGTGTAAACGATTAGACACAATCAATGGACAATTAACTCTTTCCAAATCAACACTAGCTGAATGTGAGGTGATCACTGATCATTTATATCAATTGGTTGGTGATCAGTCAAAAGCTGATGAAGTAAGAACTAAATTTAATTCAATTGAAAGGAAATCAGTTGAATTATCAAATGAAATTGATTCAGTCAATCAATACCTGACAAAATTGAGAGACTTTGAGGAGTGTGAGGCCACTTTGAACGAGTGGCTATCGAAAGTTTCAACTGAACTAGAAACAGAGTTAAGAGTTTCAACCGATGAATCTGAGCTGAAAAATGAGCTCAATCAAATTGAACGATTAAGATCAGAGTTTGACCGACGGGAAGCTGATCTACGATCATTGGAATCCATGGGAACTGGCCTACTAGAAGCTGCGAGTTCTCTGGCCACTGGAGCATCGGCAGTCCAAGAAATAAGTCGAGTCTCTGGTCGAGTTGAATCAGTCCAATTAACTTGGAACGAGTTGTCAAAGGAAATTGATTGTCGAGTCTCTAGATTGGAAAGTGCATTGAAATCATTTGTAACAATCAAATCACAATTGATGATAATATCTAATTGGTTGGATGAATTGGACGTTGAAGTTTCCAATGTCGCTGATTTGACTTATGACCAAGGGTCACTCGAAGTTCAATTAAAGGCAATTGAAGCGATTGCTTTTGAAATGAACGGTAAATCAGCGGAATACGACAAGATCAATCAGATCACTCTCGATTCCTTCAACGTTGGAGTGAAAGAATCACGAGAGGAGATAAATGGCCTGATCGAAAGGTGGAAAAGTATCGCTAAAGACACAGAAGAACGTCGATCTCGATTGAAAGGGTTACTTGATTCACTTCGATCGCTTGATTGTTTCATCGATGAGATTACCTGTGATTACGAGGCAACAAACAGTAAAACAAACGCCAGTGGCCTGATGGAGTCACCGACATTCGAGACCCGTTCAATTGACCGAATCAAATCACTACTTGAATCGGTTAAATCTTTGGAAAGAAAAGTTGATCGAGCTCGAACAATTGGTTTGGACTTAGCTAAACAATTCGAGACTGTTGGACAATCAACCGAAACCCAATCAATAGTGAAAGTCGAACCATTAAACCGAATCGAAAGTCTTTCTAATCGAGTGTCTAGTCTAAGATTGTCCATTGAAACTCGATATTCTCTTTTATTAGGAACCAAAAGGTCAGTTGATAAAATTCATCGGAAAATTGATTCAGTTGAACGAACTTTGAATCGACTTGTTGAGACCAGTCATAAGTTACCAACGATAGTGACCAGAGATTCGGTCACTTTGACCAAACAGAAAGAGGAAACAACTGAGCTACAGGGTGAGGTCAATTCGTTTTCATCAGAAATTCAGGATTTAGAAAATACAATCGAAGCGGAGAAATCATGTTTATCCATTTTCCAAGTTACATATAAGAACTTTTTATCCACAATTGAATCAATTGACTCTCGACGAGTAAATTTATTGTCCAATTTAAATGAAAGATATCAAAAGATTGACAGTTCACTAAGAGAAGCTCAAGATGTCGAGGCCACTTTACATGAGTTTGCCGATTGGCTGAAAACGATTGAATCAATCGTTGATTCAATGGAGGAATCATCTTACCTGGTTGATACTATTGAGAAACAATTAAAGGAAACAAGTGATTGTCAAACTTCAATAACATCTAAACGGGATGTTCTAAGTGACCTGGAAAGACGAGGTCCAAGACGAGAAAAGGAAATGCTGATCTCAATCCGTTCTCGATACAATAAACTGACCTCTAAAGTGACCAAACGGTATTGCACATTGGAGAGGAATTTAAAATCGGCAAAAGAGTTTATCGATAAATGGAATGGGCTAATTAACTGGTTATCAGGGACAGAAACGATTGTATCGGCAAACGAACAGGTCAATTGTTCAAATATTAGTGTGACCATTGGAGCCTTGAGGGAACTGAATCGAGAATTTGACCACAAGTCTGGTCACCTTGATTCTGTTTGCCGATTGGGTCGAAGTCTTCGTGATAAAAGTCCTAAAAGTGATAATGATGCTTTTCGTAATCTAATTGATACACTTCGAACTCGTTGGACGAACGATCATAAAAATGTCCAAGAGACACTTCGAAAGACCGAGAAAATTTCAAATGCTCTGGATCGATACAAGAAACTGGTCAAGCAATTGAAGGATTGGCTCGCTGAAGCTGTAATATCATTTGATAGACTACAAGGTGACCCTGAAACTATCCAACGATTAATTAAAGATCACAATAACTTCACCAAACAATTAGCACTTAAAAATGATTCAATGATTGTACTTAAAGATTGTGTCGATGAACTGGTTGACCTTTTGACTCCCGATTGTATAGATTCTGAGACGATATTAACTGAATACGCTTCCCTTTCAACCCTATGGGATGAGTTGAACCTTTCGAGTCAAGAAAAAGAGATTCGACTTCGTGAATACCTACAATCGGCTGAACAATTAAAATCACAGGCTAACAAGATGCTCAATTGGTTGATTGAAATCGAAACCTCAATGGGAAAGTATAAATCAACCACCGGTGCTGATGAGGTTACACTCCGTCTGTATATCGATGAGATCAACGATTATATTGAGAAAATGGGCTCAACTGTCGCCGATCGGGATGAGATCATTTCTAGTTCTAATCAGGTATTAACTGATTGTCACCCTGATGCACATTTCGCAATCCATCATTACATTGAGATAATTGAGTCGACCTGGGACGATGTGGCTCGATCGTTGGTCAAGAAAGAGTCCGAATTAAGAAGTAAACTCGATGAGATGGTCAAAAGGTCAGCGTATTTGGCTGAACTTTCGGCCTGGTTGACAACTCGAGAAACCGAATATGATCTTTTAGATAGCAAGTCAATTCCAAATGAGATCGAACCAATTCAAGAGCTAATCGACGAAATGGAAACATATCGGGCGACCGTTAACGCTAAAGAAAATGAACTGGACAAATTGGCCGAAGAGAATCGTAAAGAACCGGTTGGTAAAAGACGACGAACTGGTCATGAGAGTGTCAATAGTAATTATAGTAAATCGTCAAGTGATCTGCCGTTAGATCAGATTGGTGATCCTAAAGTGATCGATATACTTACTCGATGGCGAGGTTTAACTTCTCGAACTAGAGATCGACTCATTCGTCTACGAAGTAAGATGAACTTTTACCTTGAACTTGAAAAACTTCGTGACTTTGATTTTGACTCTTGGCGACGTCGATTCATTGATTGGTTGGACAATAGATCAGCTCGACTGATGGACTTTTATCGTAAATTAGATGATAATCGCGATAATAAGGTCACATACGATGAGTTTATCGAAGGTTTTATGAGACACAAATTCCCAGGTAATCGAAGTGAACTTCAAAGAGTAGCGGCCATTTTTGACCGCAACAACGACGGATTCATCGATAACAAGGAGTGGATGGACAAACTGAAAGATCCCTCCGAGATTGAGATAATTGTTAGTGAGATGAGAAAACAATCAGCTAAATGTACCTGTTCATCTAAATATCGGGTCCATCAGGTTGAGGATAAAAAATATCAGGTAATTGAATAGAAAATTGTTAATTTTCAATCTAATTAACTGATTTAAATATCGAAAATTTAGTTTGGTGAGTCACATAAACAAAGATTGGTTCGAATCTTGAGAAGTGATATTATGGTTCGAGTCGGCGGCGGTTGGATTTCATTGACTGAGTTTCTCCTGAAAAATGATCCATGTAGAGGTAAACCTAACCATCTAATTGCTAATTTCCATAGTTAATTGTTTCCAATTCTTTAAATATAATTAGCCAAAGGTCGGACAAATGTTGAGCTTCGAGAACCACTAGCCGATGGTGTTAGCCAAGGAATGGCTTCTTTTCAAAGTCGATCGCCTTATTTTGGCAACAGCTCATTTCTTGGGCCAATAACCAATGTAAGTGTTTAAAAAAATTCACAATTAACTCAATCAAGCTAATTAACTCTCTAAATTTGGCCACAGATTCGAGAGAAAACTGAACGAAGTGTGCCAATGTGTCAATCAGCTGATGACGACGATGAGTACCCAATGGATGACGATAGTATTTCCGGTGATGCAGTTTCTTCATCTCGACCTCAAAGTCGATTAACATTTATTGGTAAATTTGAAACAATTAACACACAACCAAAGCTCAAGTTAAATTCTAATAACAATTAACTTTAATTTTCCCTTCGACAATCAAATTACTAGCCAAAGATGACCGATGTCCAAGCCGAGCAAGTAGTAGCCAGGAAAAGAAACTACGAATCGATACAAGACCGAGATGGCATTAATTAGAATCGTTGATTAACAAACAAATTAAACCACATCAAATAATTAACCCGATTAACTGGATAACCAATCAACCCTTTTAACTTGACAATTTAAAAAAGCAATTTAGTTAAACAATTAACATGAAGAAAAAACCAAACGGGATTAGATTTGCTTTCATTTTTCTGCTCTAATTTTTTCACCTTTTCATTTAATCCTTAATCTTCCCAATATTTGTTATCATATCAACAATTAAACAACTCCCACAACCGTTAATACAATTAAGCCCAACAATCAGCGAGAAGAAAGTAACAATCAACAATCACAATTGGATAATAATTAACATCGATTAGAGTTAATCAATTATTTTAATGCTTCTTTCATAATCAATCATCAACATTTCCAATTAATCAGCTGATTTTTTTGTTCACTTTTCTTTCAATTGTCTATGATGATAAAGTCGCATTTTTTTGTATGTCATCATCTTTGATTTGGTTAACAGAAACAAAAAGAAACATCAATTTATAAATTGTTGGAAGAAAATTAATGAAACTTTGTTACCATCGCTATTTGGGTTTTACTATGACGGCGCTTATACATGTTTCATACTTGGGATTGACCTTAATTTACAAATAAAGACCATTTAAACCAAGAATAAATCACCAAAAGTTGTAAATAATTAAGAGTTTGTTTTCTCACATGAGAAAACAATTCATTCAGAGTTTTTGTGACAGGCAATTTTACATTTTCTTTGTTAATCATTTGTGTTTCATTTTGTTTTTTGTTTTAATTGTAAAATTGACTTTTGTTGTGTTAAGATGATGATGATGATTTAAGAGGAGTGTGTGTGTGTGTTTGTTTGTGTGTTTTGTATATACGTTTAAAATTGATTAGAGATGCGACCATAGTTTCTGGTAAATGTTTTTTGATGTTTCGCCTTTCGTTGTCAATTGGTGGTGGTGATGGTGGTAATGATGATGTAATTGTAGTGTTGGTGACATTGTCGAAATTTAAAAAACATCAGAAAGATTAAAACTGTCACATTTTTTGTTTTCTAAGTGGAAGATGGGGAATATAATATAATAATAGGAAGTCATTTATAATTAAGGAAGGCAAAGAGAATTGTTTGGTGGGTGGGTCAAGAGAGAGAGAGAGAGAGAGAGAGAGAGAGAGTGTGTGTGTGTATGTTGTAAGTGAGCGTCATGTAGTTGATTTTTATGAGGATTTTTTAGTTAAAGCGATTGAGTTAATAATTTTCTGTGATATTTTGGTCAAAACGGAAAAAACCTTGGCCAGAGAGAAAAAAAATTCGATTATTTTTGAGAAGCAGGCAAAAGACAAGGAAAGAAAAAATTGAAGGAAAATGATACAAAGGAGCATACACAAAAGGAGGTAATGATGATGATCAAAGATTAATAATAATTAAGAGATTAGGAATGATAATAATGAATCATGACAATAATAGTAGAAGATAATAATAATAATCATGATTAGATGATTTTTGTTTTAGTTTTTTTTTGTTAATTCCTGGTCATCTTGTTGCCCAACTGGTCTAAAAAAGGTCAGTAGTATTTGTGGTAGTCTCTCTCCTTAAGCAAAGTACATTACTTTTTTGGTATCAGGATGGATTGTTACAGCTCGAGCTAAAGCCGTTTGAGTCCTATCATTACCGTTCGACTGGTGACTACCATCACCGCTGAAAAGTTCGAAGAGAGGGAGAGAAAAAAAAAGAGAAAAATTAGCAATTTGGTTAACAATTATTATGGAGAAAAAAAAATCAAAAAACAAAAACTCTTAACAAGGAAAGTCGATGCTCTTCAGATTGTAATCTCTTCTCTTTTGTGTTGTTGTGTGGATACTAATTCTTGGCAATTATTTGAAAACCTTTCATTGAATTCAATTTATGTATAAATTATTTAATAAATTAACAAAAAGAGCAGATTTCAATGATTGATAAAGAGAGAATGAGAGAATGAGAGAGAGAAAAGGGAGAAAGAGTAATTTAAGATGAGAAGATAAAAATAGTATTTTAATAATTACCTGAACTCGGTAAGATCGCCTGTAAGGCCAGATTGACTTTCGGTTTCCAATTGACTGACCCTATTAGAGAAAAACGATAAAATGGTTCAAAATGGAAAATTAGTAAAAAAATTTTTCAATAAGATGAGAAAGAGAGGGAGATGGAAATAGTAAAAAAGAACAAATGAAGAAAAAGATATCAATTGACTTACCTATCATTTTCTTTTTCAACTAGATGATAACGGGCTCGGAAAGCTACAAGATGCGCATAATAGGCTGGAGCTGGTATAGATACTGAACGTGTACATCGAACATAAGTATGACAAAGTTGATAAGTTAGACATTGAAGCTCATCGGCAGAGAAATGATTATCGTCCCATAGAACATGATAATGAGATGGACGACTGGTTCCCTGTTTTCAAAATCGAAAAAAAGAGAGAGAAAGAGAAATAAAAAATGAGGTTAGTAAAAAAAGGAATCAATTATTTATGATGAAGCTTTGTAACAACAAGAAAACACAACCGGATGTCAAATTTGATTGTGCGCTTGTCCAACATCATCTACATTTAATCCTCATCTAATCTTTAGCCGGAAAAGTAACTCATATAAAAAAACATATTGTACACAGAGAAGAAGAGAAGAGAGAGAGAGAGAGAGAAAGATGATAAAATATGTTCTCTGTGTTAGGTAATGATAAGTCTACTCAAGAAAATGAGAAATTTTTAGGTAACTTCCGTTGGATTGGAAGTAATGAGTTACAGGCAAAATTACTCAGTACGTGAGGTGAGGAGAGAAAAAAAATCTCTTATGATTTTATCCTCTCATATGAATTACTTTTTGTCTGTTGTTATTGTTATTTTTATTTCAACTTGTTATTCAATGAAAAAGACTATTGCTAAATGCCTTAAGTGATATTATAGATGAGTTGGAAAAAGAAAGTAAGATGATAATGATTAGGATGATGATGATGATGATGATGGTATAAACAAAAAGCATTAAGATTTGTAAACGCATGAATTACCTGAATACCAGCATGAGAGCAAAGATAGAAGTCAAATTCAGTCGGGTGAGTGATGCCAACATCAACCGTGGTTCCTGCGGGGATATTGCCACTTCTCCCGACTTGCTCCCTTTTATCGGCACAGAATAGTCTTGTGTGATGACGTTTTTGTACTGCAATGAAAGTTATTCCAGGATAATAATCTTCTTCAAGCATCATGCAAGCTTTTCTGATGGCAAGAAGTTCAGTATTTAGGACAGCTGGAAATTGACCTTCAGAGACTCCATCTCGATAGAAAATAATTCGAACAGGCTTGTATCGAGTACATTTGTAAAATTGTATCATCAATTCTTTGACCATACTGGCAAGATCTTGAATAATCTCTTGACGATGTTGTTGAACACGAACAGTAGCTGAGTACCGAGAAGGATGAGCATCCATAGAACCAACTACCGCAGCTATGGAGGGTTTTTTATTATCACCTGCAGGAGGGTGGGTGACATCCGCTCCCAAGAATATCACAGGCTCGTTGAACACCTTTGGTCTGAATAAGGAAATAAAAAAGAGGGAGAGAGAGAGAGACAAAATAATTAGAAATAGAAATTAATAAGAGAAAAGAAAAGATAAATCAAAGATAAAAATGGAATAAGTAACAAGAGAGCAACATTAAGATAAGATAATTACCTGACACTTGGAACAAGAATACTATTGATTCCACCAAGTTTTACATTAATTTTCAGGCAAAGGTTGGATAAAGTTTGAGGTGATGTTTTGTTAACATTTTTGCATTGAACACATTGAGTGGCCATACCGAGAACGGTATCACCAACCCTTTTGACTTCAGCGTAAACCGGAGTTTTACCAGGTAATACAACAACAACTAGTTGAAGACCAACAAAAGTGGCTTTCAGGTAACGGAACATTGGTTCAACCTGATCTGATCCAGTAGCATATTTGCAGAAACAAGGCTGTCCAAGAATAGGCATTCCTGCGTCATTAGATATTTTCTGTAATTGTCCGATAAAAGTACGAAGACCATCTTCCCGGCATGTTCGCTGTGGTGCAAAACAAGCAATGGCCCAGACACGAATCTCAACACCAGTGTGAAACTGTTTACCTCTCATATCCCAAACACCAGAGGTAGGAAGTGCTTGTTGTTTGGTTCGACCGCCATATTGTAATTTAGGTGGAGGAAGGACACGACCTTTAACCTCCATCATATTATTTGAAATTGACAATCCAAACTCTTTAATATATGGATCGTGATTGAAATCAGCTTTTACAACTAGATTGTTAATCTCTCTTTCTCTATCAGGTGCAGAGCGAGCGGTTGCCTTAATCATGGTTGATGTTTGCATATCAGTGAGTTTCTTGATGCACCTTTGACCAGCGACAATGTTACATACCTCTAAAGGTAAATAAGTATGCTTATGCTCTTGACCCACTTGAAGACAAGGAAGATGAGGATATCTCAATTTCATTTTGTATTTTTCGAAAAAGTATTTGGCAACAGTGCACTCAATTGTTTGGCCATTGTCCAATTGAAGAGGGAAAGATTGAAGTTGAGATGGTCGTCGAGTAACATTGCATACTCGATATTTACGCCTCATGGAACCACAATGGGTTATTTCAATTTTGAGACCTTTAATTTCTTTGGTAAATTTGACTCGCTGTGAATCGGTGAAAGGTTTCTTTTGTTCATTGATATCTCTTAAATCCAAAACTTCACATGCAAAGTCAATGACTGGTTGAGCCTTATAGAAAGCAGTTGCTGATACATCTATGTTCAATGTCATTCGCCAATGAGAAGGTCGGACAGACTGATGAAATCCGAACCAAACTTCACGTCCACCTCCAAGTGGATGATAATATCCTTCGGGTGTTGAAAAAAATGATCTTCCTACGGGAGTGTAGACCATTGATGGAAGATGCCGCATAACAACATCTAATGCTTGAATGGCGTCCATTGGAATATATCTATTCTCACCTTCCAAGGCTCGTTCTAAGTGATCTAGGTTAACTTGACTAACCCATTTAATGGCCACTCTAAAAAGCCTGTCTTTACCTTCACCAGGAAGGATAACTTCAAGTTCAATTTTATCTCTACCAATTGGTAAATCGTCTGAGGTATACATGTTTTTACGTCCATCAAATACAGGCTTTTGATTTCCGAATAACTTTGAGTATGATTGGACCATAATTTGAATGATTTCTCGGTTAATTTTTCGTGGACATTTATCTGGAGATATAGTAACATCATAATGGTGTAGAAATCCTCTTGGCATGGTAATCTGATAATGATTAGCTCTCAACATCAATGGTCTTCCCTCAGTTCCAATATTAGGTCGTCGTGGGCAAATAAATGCTGGATCTGGCAACACAATTGGTTCTTGGCCGTTGTTATTATTATTATTGTTGTTGTTATTATTATTGTTATTATTATTATTATTATTATTGTTATTATTATTATTGTTGTTGCTGTTGTTGTTGTTGTTACTGTTGTTGTTATTATTATTATTATTATTACTACCCCTACCATTACCATTGCCTCCAGTGTTACCATTTCCACAGGCGTTTCCATTACCACCACTACCAACTGAGCCAACTGAACCAGTACCACCAGCTCCACCATTTCCACCAGTACCACCAGTAACATCAATAGATTCACCACCACCACCACCACCCCCTCCTCCTCCTCCTCCTCCACCACCACCACCACCACTACCACCATTACCACCAGTAGCAGTAATAACACCAACAACAGATGAACCTCCGGAAGCTCCTCCACCAGCAGCCTTGATTATACCATTGCTGACCTTTCCTACTGGAAGTTTGCTGAGGCATAAATCAACCAGTTGTTCCATGTCTATGTCCATTAGATGAGGTTATCAAAAAGCAATAGAATGATTCTCAAAGACACAATTTAAAACAATTAAACTTAGTTAATTTTCCAACACACACAGGAATAGATAATTAAAAGGATCAAGAAACCAAAGTTAAATACTCATCTTGAGACAAATCAAAATGGCGTTAATATTGTGGTTCTCATTTCTTTCCCTTCTTTGGAAATCAAAGTGCTGCCATCGCGTGGAAATTTCGAAAACTTTTTTTTCGAATATCAAATTTGAATTTTTGTTCTATTTTCTATTTTCTATTTTTTTATTTTTTTTCTCAAATTGTTGATTTCTTATTTCTTATTATTATGATTCCAACTATTAGTGTTTGATTGTAAATTGTTTTGATTTGTGATTGTGATTCGATGAATTTTCAACGAGATGTTTAAGGAATGAAAGACAATTGAGTTTTCTTTAAATTAATTGATTCGATTTGATTGGAGTTTGATTTGAGATTTTTAATTAATGGAGTCAAAGTATAAGAAGAATAATTTGTTTCTATGTTTATTTTTGGTGACAGTTTTTTTCTTCTTGTGTTTTTTTTTTATAATTAAGTGATAATTGTCAAGTGATTTTGGGTTTAATTGTTGATTGATTGTTGTGAGAAAAAGGGAAACTTGTTAATTGTTAGTAATTTGACATGCGCGAATCCTTTTCATCATGTGATGTAAATAATAGTTTTTGTAGTTGGATGAAATCGCTCAATGAGACAATGTCAAAGCCTTAAACGTTTTTAATTATTAATCATGTTTTTGTTATGTAAATTTAATTATCTCCAATTAATTAATATTCCCCATCCCTAGAACGTTAAGTTTCTTGTATGTTTAAATGTGATATTCTATTGTAAATATTGTTCTGTGTTTGTGTTTCCTTCGTTGGAAACATCATCATCTCTACCCTTCTAATTTTTGTTTTGTTTTGATTGTTCTTTTTTTTTCATTTCTTCTATTCTACAAAAAGAATTGACTTTTTTCTCTCTCTTCGTGTATCTTTCTCTACATTTCATCTTTATATGTGATGGATTTGGATGATAATCTGACGGTTGAGGAAAGAAATCTAAAAATCGCTGCTCAAATTGGACAATCTCTATTGGAACAAAATAATTGTCTTAAATTACACAATGAAGATTTGGAAGCTGAGTTGATTGCTGCCAATGAGACAATTACTCAATTAAGACATGAGATATCAAAAAAGAATCAACTAATTCAACTCTATTCGGCTGATCTGGAAACAACTGAGACTGAGATTGATTCAATTGATGAAAATAGTTGCTCATCTTCTCGTGATAATAATGTTATCAATTCCAGTAGTAGTGGTAATCATAAATCAAACCAAAATAATTGGGAAATTTTACAAGAGCAAATTTCTTTCTTGGAAAATGAGAACCATAAATTACGAGCAGAGGCCACTCGCCGAACGATGGACATTGAGGCCGAAGAGAGGAAAGAATTCCTATTAATTCATGATTGTGCAAGCAACTGATTGAAGCCAATTTACAATTGATCAACCTACAAGAAGAGCTTGCCTGTAGAGCGGAAGATAATGTTAATCAGAATGAAGAGATAACCAATCTACTAAGTCAAGTTGTTGAATTAAAGAAAAGATACGTGACCTATCATGTCAGCATTTCTTCTAATTTTGTTTTGTTTTGATTGTTCTTTTTTTCATTTCTTCTATTCTACAAAAGAATTGACTTTTTCTCTCTCTTCGTGTATCTTTTTCATCATCTTATATGTGATGGATTTGGATGATAATCTGACGGTTGAGGAAAGAAATCAAAAATCGCTGCTCAAATTGGACAATCTCTATTGGAACAAAATAATTGTCTTAAATTACACAATGAAGATTTGGAAGCTGAGTTGATTGCCAATGAGACAATTACTCAATTAAGACATGAGATATCAAAAAAGAATCAACTAATTCAACTCTATTCGGCTGATCTGGAAACAACTGAGACTGAGATTGATTCAATTGATGAAAATAGTTGCTCATCTTCTCGTGATAATAATGTTATCAATTCCAGTAGTAGTGGTAATCATAAATCAAACCAAAATAATTGGGAAATTTTACAAGAGCAAATTTCTTTCTTGGAAAATGAGAACCATAAATTACGAGCAGAGGCCACTCGCCGAACGATGGACATTGAGGCCGAAGAGAGGAAAGAATTCCTATTAATTCATGATTGTGCCAAGCAACTGATTGAAGCCAATTTACAATTGATCAACCTACAAGAAGAGCTTGCCCGTAGAGCGGAAGATAATGTTAATCAGAATGAAGAGATAACCAATCTACTAAGTCAAGTTGTTGAATTAAAGAAAAAGATACGTGACCTATCACAGGAGAATGAAGGACTTTACAGTGCTCTCGATTTGGCCCACGAATGTCAGAATGTCCTATCAGGTGAACTATTGGAAACAAAGGAAAAGTATAATATTCTCATGTCAGCATTTCAAGAGCTACAAGAAGAGATGAAACGTAAAACCGAAACCAATCTATCCAATTGGCCACCGCCCGGTTCTTATATGCCTTTTTGTGAATCATTAGCCGCTGAACTTGAAGACAGTTTGGACAGTTTCGGCTATGAAAGTGGCCTTTCAAGTTTAAACCGAATAAATCGTAAAGAAATTGATGAATCTCGTAGTCATAGTCCCGATTCAATGTTAACTGAAAATGGTGGTGAATTTAAAGGTAAATCATTTAAACCTTTAACCAGTGGATCACTTAATCAACAACAGCGAACAAGCAACAATATACTTGGTCGAAATTTTCTTTTCTCAAATAAATTGAGAATCGTTAAACCCATGGAAGGATCTGAAACATTATCTCGCTGGAAAAAGATGGCCAATCCAAATTTAGCTTCGATCTTTGAAAATACTTCGGGTATTCAGAATAGAATAATTGAAAACATTCGTACAGATCTTTCCAATCATATCGCCACTACTGCAGGTGTATCAGCAACTGTATCCGTCACGGTTACCTCAATGTCTCTCAACAATCAACAAAAAGTTAATTATACAACTTGTAATACCAATACCAACAATAATAATAGGATCCGGTTATCCAACAACAGTAACAACAACAATGGAGGTGATGGCCATTTACAAGAAAATAATTATTCAGATGATAATAGTAATCCTGGTAAAATTTTTGATACAACCCTATCAACATATACATTCACAACAACCTCACTCTCACTGACCAGTCAATCTACCTTAGTTACACCCAGTTTCGGGGCAGTTCAATTATCTACCGGTCACATCATTCCGATTTCCAGTGTTTACACCTCAACCACTTCCTATGATTCATCAAATCGTTATAACCAAAAAATAGGAAATAATTTAACAATAAATGAACTTCTAGTATCATTATCATCATCATCATCAACAACACAATCAACACCATCATCATCATTATCATCGTCATCATCGCCAAAAGTTAGTTTACAGTATCCGATTCAATTGTTTTTCAATCTTCTACTCTCATTTCTTTTTGTTTTTCCATTACCTTTACAATCAACAATTTTTTTTCTGATTACATGAACTTTTTTCTTCCTTCTTTTTTTTCTAGATAATCAGCAGTGATGAATTGGCATCATCTTCATCATCCAACATCAGCAATTACCATCAGCCTAATGTAACGAGTTCTACCTCGTCTATTAGTAAGCATTTCAACATTTAAGTATCATAAATATGAGCACTTCTTTTGCTTATGAGCACCATTAATAACACTCCAAACTAATGAATGACAAGATTTCGTTCTTGTTGAATGTTATCATGTTATCTCAACGTTTTCTCACTCGACTCCCTCTACCCTCACCTCATCATCATCTCTCTCTCTCTCTCTCTCTCTTTAAATTTTGTTTCTGTCAAAATGCTATTTTGAAATGAGTGAGATACTTAATTTGCTTTGCAGATCAGGCTCATTAAATGCCAGACACAATTTCGACCTAATAACAATATCAAGATCATCCGATTATCTAAATTATCCTTTATCCTTATCCATCATTCAACATTTTACAATCAGCTTAACATTTAAATGCTTCCGATTTACCATTATAAACAATTTATGATGTTTTATGTTTACCTAATCACAATCAAAAATAACCAAACAATCATCAAAAATCCATAATCTAATTTGCAGAAAATGAAACTCATAAGTGAAGATTGGGATTACTATTAATTGATCAAATGTACTATTTGATTAACAAAACAGTTGCCTCACTAATACTTGGAAACTTAACAATCGAAAACCAATAATTGATCAAATTGTAGCTTCATTTTTTTCCCTGAGCAATTAACTCGTTTCAATTAATAGAATTTAGAGAAGCGCAAAAAATGAAAAAATTGTCGATTCGATTGTTGAAAGAATAGAAAAAATTAGAATTGTTTCCTTCTATTCTCTGTGTGAAAACTAATTATTTTAATTCTCATCATGATTAACCGATTCTCTAAAACCGGTTCAATTGTTTATTATTAAGTGTTATTATTTATAATTTAACTGAATGTGATTAGTATTAATATTCAATTCTAATAACATTTTCCCTTACTTTCAACAATCAACACAATTGAACAGTAACAATTTAAACTAGTCTAATAATTTGGAGCTTAATTGTTATTGCACTTTAAATATTTATCACAAATACTTGAAAGTATTAAAACAAATTGATTATGATAATAATAATTTACTGTTAATTGTCTTGTTTTCAGACACTTCATATATCATGAATTCATGACTCCTAATCAACAACTTGGGTATTTAAAAGCTTTCAAGTCACAATTTAGTTAATAAATTGGATAATCTTAATGATGGTGAAGAGAAAAAGAGAAAATCTAATCAAATTGAATTATTATTGTTCCAAACTAAATCAATTGAATCATCAGCTTCTAATCACGAATCTAACGAGATGATACAATAAACATAATTTCCCCTCCTTCATCAACCTTAATCATCAACCGATTATTGATAAATTCTAATCACTTTTTTGTTTCTCTTCTATTTATCTTCTCGATTTCTAGGTGTTCTTTTTCAAGATTTACTTCGCAATAGGTGCTCGAACTATGTGAAATACTTATCTGGTGCATTAGCGGCAATCGAATTATCTTCAAGCGATATAATTTCCTATCGAGATTTAACCAGAGATCAAAACAATGTAACCTGTTCCCCTTCCTCGCACCACAAAGGTGTAATCAACCCATCAAATCGTTTATCATCATCATCAACAACAACAACAACATCACAATTATCACAATTACCTTCATCATCTTCATCACCATCATCAAATATTTCACCAAAGTCTCAATCTCAACATGGATTAAACTACCTGGCATCAGATGGTTTAAATTTATCCTCATCATTATCACCTTTATGTGATTCCTGTGATAGAGGTGTTATCACCAAGGGTAGCACCATTAATCCAGCATCGATTGGTGTTCCGGATAAAGATGGTACCAAAGAAAGATACTCAGCAATTGAGTTACATAGGATAATCTATTACGGGAAACTTTTACCCCTCAAGACATTAAGAAAAGGTGGACTCGTATAATCAACGGACGATAATATGACCCACGAAAAGAAATCAAACAAACAAAAAAAGAAAAGAAAAACCAACTTAAATCGGCAATTAATTCCTAAGATTTTCACAACGAACCAACGCATTAATCCACCTTAAAATCTTCCTCCTTTTTCTGCCTTAGAGAGATGATCATCTATTTTTCTGATAGTTTAACTTAATTTAATTTCTCTTAAATTGTTGAATTTTTTTTTCTCTTCATTTGCTTTGCCAATTACATTCTGATTCCTACCTAATTGTAAACTCTCTTCTTCCTCTCTTCCAAATCGATAATGAAATATATTCATAATCCTGACTAAATTATTCTCAATGATCATCAACCAACAACAAACTAATCAACTAAAGAAAAACAATCAATACTAATTAGATTCAATATTATGTTGTATTCATATATTAAGTTGATTATAATTATCGTTGATTATCACTCAGAGAATCAACGATTTCCCTGGTTGATTACAACTAAATAGCTCAGAAGTTCATTAAGTTCACAAGTTAAATTGATTGTTGTCTATTCCAATTCCACCAACCTAATTGTAATCAACGAGTTAAATTATTACCAAACGTTAATTATGATAAATTGTGTACTTATTATGATTAAATTAGTTCAACGAAAACGATTAACTTTCTAGTTGATTAAAATTGAACTAATTTTCCAATAATAATGTTAATTAACCAAGTGAAAAGTATAAAAAAAAAGTATTACAATTGTTTAACAATTAGAATCTTACCTTGATAATTAATGAATCTTTTTCTGTACCCAATTGAATTAATAAAGAATACAATTAACAGAATCACTTTACTAAATTAGTAGAGAGAAAGAAAAAAATAAATTTAAATTGTTACAATTAAAACTTTGGCCAACAGATTTCACTACATTGGAAATGATTGTTGGACAATCAATTGAAAAAAGTTTTCGTTAATTAATCACTACAGATGAAATCTAATAGCAACACAATTAATCAGATTGTTCCTAAACAATTAACTAACTAATACTGATTAGGTAAGATTGCTGATTGTTGAATGACGACTTTCATTTTCCAATCGTTAATCACTTGATTAATATTGATTTTCTCAACCCTCTCAAGTTAATCATCGCAAATAAACAATATACAATGAAAACAAAGTAATCAACAAAAGTCACTTGTAATGATTAAATTAAGTAAATATAACTAAATGAGTTACAACAATCTGATTAACTATTTACCTCTGTACCTCTTTTAATTGTCCTCATCTTGATTGTTTAATTTAATGGTTAAGTAAATTAGATCACCAGGAATGGCATTGAAATGATCAACATCTTCATCTCATCTGATGATCATCATGAAGATTATGATTAAGTCTTAATTGTTAAGGTCTAGTTTTAATTTAATCTTTGATTGTCACAAAGATAATGTTGATTGTATTGTGTAAATCAAATTTTTAATGACAATTAATTTGTAATTTAGTCAATTCAATTGTAATCATTTCCGAGCCAATATCCTGATTAACAATTTAAACCGGTTGACAAATTAAAATCAGACAATTTACCAAGGTTAATCATATTCAAGGTTGTCCAATTGATTAAAATTGATTGTTCAAGGTTCCTATTAATCAATTTGTATCAATTACCATGTTGATTATGATTACCGGTGAAATTTAATTGTCCAAAGTGAATCAAAACCAATTATTTAATTGTTTACAATTAAATTACAATTTAAGTTTGCAATACAAATATGGAAACTTTTTCGTTGATTTTGTTAATCATTTCCTTTAATTGTGACATGTCATTGACATCAATCAATATATTGAACAAGTCAAAGGTTAATAATGAAAAAAATGTATTACTATTAATAGATTGTGACACAGAAATGATGAGACTTGAAACTTGAAATAACAATTAAACTTGATGAAAGTAGCATAATTATAATCACCATTAAATCAATTAAACCATCAACATTGTTTACTCTTAATTTTAATCAGGTAAGAGTTAAGTACACAGGTAATCATTAATTTCCCCTGGTTTTCCTGGTTAATTGTAGGTAATTGAACTAATCACGAGTTAATCACTAATTGTTTTCTGACAATTTCTCTCTTTTTGTCACCAAACAGCCAACAGAAAGTTTCTAAATCCAGTTGAATTAATTGTCAACTTGTCGATGATTTATCGATGCAAACCGATTGAAAATCTGAAAGAAAAGTTCATTGGTTGAGTGGTTGTTTATTTCGTGATTGTTGTTATTATTTTCACCATTAGAACTTTTCTTTCTAATAATTTCATCATGAGATTTTCGATAACTTGTAAGACAAGATTCCGAATAATGATAATGAACAACAATAAAGGATAACCCTTCAAGCGATATGATTATCATTTATCATGATAGAATTGAGTAACAATCAAGGTCATTGGAATAATAATCAAATGAAAACGAAAACCAATGAAAAACACTTTTCATCTGAAGGATTCCACCAGATTCTTATCATGCAATTCTGAGATAGATAATGATGACTACACATCATCATCATCATCATCATCATCATCATCGTCATCATCACCTGATTGCCGATACCTGTTTTGTTATGTAAAGAAAAAGTTTTTTTTTCTTTTGCAAAACATTGAAAAGGTTATTAAAAAACAATTAAATCTACAGGTAAACAAATCAACAATTAACTGATACACAGAAACATTGACTAGACCTGATAAATTGTTTTTGCAAACTCAATCAATTTCATTGCAATTAACTGAATAACATTTTCCAATTACCCTTTGAATCCTAAACAAAACAAATTTCAAACTTGATTTACTCTAATTACTCAATGGGAGATTGAAATTTTTTATTGGTTCATGGGTTTCACCATGAAAAATATGAATGCAAATGCCCAATGAACTGGAAACACAATTAATTAATACTGATAATAAAGAGAAAATTAAATAATAATATTTAATAATAATAATAATAATAATAAATGAATCAGCACAATAAAAGGGAAAACAACAATCAAGAGCAAAGGAAAACATCAACAACAACGAGAAAAAAAAATTCCAATAAACAATTAACACAAATTCCAATGGTAATCAAATAGAGTTAAATTTATATTATAAATAATAATAGCAAATTAGGCTAAATGTTAATTGTGATAAAATTGTGCTGACGACAATTAAAATAATGTACAGTCAAGAGAAGCTCGAAACCTCAATGTGTTTACATTGTTGTTGATAATTGTTGATGTTGATTGTTACAAACATGTGAAGAACAAGTTTAATTTAATTAATATCTGTAAGAAACATGCGATGATCCATATCTGATCAGTAGATATTAATTATGGTCAAACATATACCCTGTGGATACCCTCCTTTTTTTTTTGTTCACAATTAATCAATCAATTATCATCTGATGACAATGATGATAATGATGATGAGATGATGAGATGAGGGAGACTTGGGAGTGGATAAGTTACAAGTGAGCTGAATAAAAGTGAGTGAAAAAAAGGAAAAGTGATCATGAAGAAAAGTAAGAATCTTTTTCACCGCCGATCATCAGATTAAGATTCTGATTCAGTTACATGATTTGTCCATGCTTTTAATGTGCTTCTCATTTTGACATTTCTTATTCCAAGTTACCTGTGTTACTTTTTTTCCTCCCTTTCTCTTTCGGTGTCGAGTCGATTATCACCCTTGCCGAAGGTACATTACTACTGTTATCGAGAATCACTTGAGAGGAACGAGTTCGAGGAGGTCTTTTCAAGAGAGGAGAAAAGAGAGAGCTACCAATTGCCTCATCTTCATCTTCCATCATTAACTCAACGTCTTCTCATTCAACTGGAATAAAATAAAGACTCTCAGAGAATCTTAATTAATTGATAATTTCTCTCGTATCTTCAGTATTAATCGTTCAATTTATCTTCATCTTCAAGTTTCATCTTTGTTTTCCACTGACCTCGTTTTGTCAATTTCGTTCTGACGAAATCCTCTCTCTCTCTTCTTTCATCCTTTTCCTTATTTAATATTCGCCCACCATGTTAAAGGTTAACTTGTCATCTTTCACTTCAATTGTTATATTTTGTTTAGTCAATTGTTTAATTAGTTCAATTTCCTGTGATGATTGTTATCAACATCATTTTCCTAATGGTGGAATCGCTTGTGCCTGTAATATAACTCACTGTGATTCCCTTGCGATTGAAAAAACAGCCCCACCGGGTGTACTGCTCTCCTATGAATCTGATATAACTGGTAAACGATTTCGTAAAAGTTTAAACCCGTTAGACACCATCCAGGCCAATGGAACAGCTCAGTCAACTTTTATCATGAACATTGACCGATCAGATGTCCGTCAAACTATGAATGGTTTTGGTGGTTCTTTCACCGATGCTTCAGGTATCAACATTTTCTCATTACCTGAGTTTATGAGTCGACGATTACTTCAAGATTATTTCGCTTCCGATGGTATTGAATATTCAATGGGCCGATTTCCTTTCGGTTGTACTGACTTTTCCCGACGAAATTACTCTTACGCCGATGTTAAAGATGATTTTGATCTGAGACACTTTGCACTCGCACCCGAGGATATGCAATATAAGGTAAGTAATAAGATCGTCAAATTGTATCAAGTTTACACAATTGACACTCAATCTAATGTTTAATCATAGATTCCAATGGTTAAAATGGCTTTAAATTACACCAACAATCAATTCAAATTAATTGGTTCAGTTTGGTCTTCACCGGTTTGGCTCAAAACCAGTGGTCGGTACGTTGGAATGGGCATAATAAAGGGTGACCCTGGTGGACCTTATTATCGTACTCTTGCCAAATATTACGTCAAGTAAGTTATTAACATTAATTGCAATTGTTTGTTAACAAAGAGAGATACAATTAACTGATTATCGTCTCCAGATTTTTTTTGCTGTTAATCATTTTGTTTTGCAATTAATCAAATGATTGTAATCTAATCAAAACAATATCATAAGTTTAGAGTTGATTGATTAAGTTGCTCTTGAATTAATGATACGACTCAATTAATTTCCTGTGATGATATGAGCATGTGTTTAACTACACCTGATTGATTTATATTAAACGACACTAATTAACTAATTGTCTTTGTTTTTTCCTCTCATTGATTGATTGATTGATTGACAGATTTTTGGATGAATTCAAAAAGCATGGTGTTAATTTCTGGGCAATCACCGCAGTCAACGAGCCCGCTGGTGGATTAAAACCCAAATGGCCTAATCCAAACATCGGTATGTCACCGGAAATGATTCGTGATTGGATTAGAACCGATTTAGGACCACTTCTCGAATCTTCTGGCTATGGTAGAGATAAACTTCACCTGATTATCGGTGATGAGATCATGTCAATGTTGACACTTTATGTCAAGAATATTTTGAAAGATCCTGAAGCGGCCAAATATGTTAGCGGGGTCGGAATTCATTGGTACGAGTACGGGTACGAGCCATACACACCAATGGAATACGTTCATCGGCATTACCCTGAAATGTTTCAAATATCAACCGAAGCATGTGAAGGTTGGGGTGGAGATTTTCAAGGAGGTAAGAATTTGCTTTCCATCGATAACTAATATTATCGATATAATACAATTCTTGAGTTCGAAATGTACTAATCGATTGGTTCGTACTCTTTTTTTTTATTATAAACATTAGTTCGTCCTGGTAATTGGACTCGTGCGGAAACTTATACTTGGGATATTATCAATATTGTGAACAATTATGGAACCGGGTGGATGGACTGGAATCTAGCACTTAACATGGAGGGTGGACCAAATTATGTGAATAACGTTGCAGATTCACCGGTTCTTGTTGATTTCAAGAATAAAGTTTACTACAAACAGCCAATGTTTTACGCTCTTGGACATTTCAGTAAATTCGTGAAACCTGGAGCCAAACATTTAGGTCATACTGATAACATTGATAATCCAATGATTAAGGTCACCTCATTCTTGGACACTTCCGGTCAGATTATTGTGGTCTTACAAAATCGTAAAGAGGAAACAATAATTGCAACGATCGCCGGTGCAACTGATGCTCCATTTCAAGTTTCACTTTCACCTCGATCAATACGAACGATAATTGTGCCAACATCTTCATCACAATCACCCCAACAACCACAACCATTAATACAGTTATTAACACCTTCATCCACACCTTCATCCACACAATCATCCACACCTTCATCAACTCCATCTCCATCATCCTCATCATCCTCATCCCCACCAACTTCAACATCTTCAACACTTCCTCCACCTCCACCATCATCATCCTCTTCACCTGATTCAATCCCACCTCCAATTGCATCTAAATTATCACAAATTCAACCCTAATAATTATATTTAAATTAAATTTATTCAACTCTTTAATATATATTATATTAATTATCTGTCAATCATTTACTAGATTTAATTATTACTACGATTGTAAATAGACCATCATTAATGTATTAATCATACGAATCAAACTAACCCTTTGATTGTTTCCAATTGTATTCCATTCAATAGTTGTAATCATATTATTCAATTTGGAATACAATTTAATTACAATTTAATTTAATCAACTAGAGAAATAAAAATAAATTTAATCATGTAAACAAAAAAAGCAGAATGACATCAATTTTAATTGTAAATGATAATTAAGTTAAATTAAACAACAACGAATAAACAAATAATTGAACCAAATACTTTCAATTTCCAATTTGATTTGTTTATCTAATACAACAATTAACTAATTGTGTTCAAGCAAAAAGAAAAGTGAACATTTTCAATTCGTGATTAACTTCAAACAATATAACCCGAAAGGATCAAGCGAATGGAAGGAAAAAAAGAGAACAAGAAAATCTACCTCGAAGGTTAATCACGATTTAAAATTCGAGTCAATTTCTAATCATGATTAACAATTAACGATTAGAAACTTGATTGTAATTAAGAACGAAACAGTAAGCGCCATCTAGCGAAAAGAACATCAACTAAAAAGAAGATCAGTTTGTAAGAAGAAAAAGAGATGGCGCTTTTGACGAATTTTCTCAAATTCTCTTTGGAGGAAAAAGAGAAAGTCTCAAGTTCTTGATGAATTCTCAGTCGGAATTTTTATTCACAAGTTGTTCTCATGTTGTTATATATTAAGTGTATTCTCCATCTCTCATTTAGTGTCAACTAATTTCTAAAAAGAATTAACAATAAACAATCAACAGTGTCAACGAAAAGAGAACTAAATTAAAATTCCAATGTGAGTTAACCATTTTGATTTTTGGAAAATGAATTAACAAAATTGAAGAGAAAACAAAAAATTCTAAACAGAAAGAGAAGAGAAAAAAAAATCAACATCAAACCCCAAGGAACTTAATAGAAAGTGAAACAAGTTGGAAACTTTTTTTTTCTATTCTTTTCTATTGTTTTCTTTTCTTCTCTTCTGTGTTCATTGTTTCTTTTTTTGTTCTCTCTCTCTCTCTCTCTCTCTCTGTTTCTAATAATTTTAAACTCATCAACTAAACTGTCACCAATTATCATCTTCATCATCATCATGAGATTAAATTGTAAAAGGATAAAATCAACTGGAAATAGTGTAAGTTTAGTGTCATCAAAATCAACCAAATCACCACCAAGAGATAATTTCAATTCACCTTACATGAGAACCACTTTTCGGATAATATTGTTTCTTTGTTTACCTTTACTTTCCTATGGATCGTTCAATTGTTTCCTTAAATGTAATTGTGTTTACAAGAGTAACAAACTTCACGCTGACTGTGGATCACTTTCATTAACGGAATTGCCTCAGGTAATTAAAATTCAATCTCATTTACCTATTGTCATATTATTCACATTTCATCATCTCCAAGTTGACATCTAAATGTCAAAATGATGTCCAATATTTCAAAAATTACAATCTAATCAAAGTTTAATCGTTAATCCAAAAGAAAAGCTTTTTACATTAGATTACAAGTTAATCTAATACCATGATTAATGTATTTGATTTGCTAAAAAGTAAATTAATTATCAGGTATTAGGTTTTTTTTGTTCACAGGATGTGTAAGTTGATATTGAGAAAACAATTTAATCATAATTGTTGCTGTTGTATTGATTAGTATTTTGGTTAACAACAACAACAACAACGATTATAATTGTCTTTTAGCAAATGAGTTAAATTACATCGGCTTTCCTATTACTCACAATAGGAATCACATTTGATTATCTTTTAAGCTTAACTATTAACAATTAAGATAAATAATCAATTTTAAACAAAGAAATTGATTCTCACCCTGTCTATGCAATTGTTTATGGACAAACTGTATTATTATGGTTAGGATGATTTTCAAAAGTAAATTCAAACGGCTCAAATTCACAATTTAAATTGTTTATCTTTCATAATGTTAACTTGGTATTCTAACCATGACTTTACATTAATAGCAAACAATCAAGACAAATGATATAAACAAAAAAAAACCATCAACATGATGATCAAAATTATGGTTACATGAAAATAGCAACAAACCTTATTCAAATTCAAGGTCAACTGCTACTCTAAGCCACTTATGTAATTCTGGTTACCTGCTAATATATTTCATCCTCATCCTCATCCTTATCTTCATCCTCATCTTCATCTTCATCATCTTTGTTACATGATGAGTATAAAGATACAAACATTAAGAGTTAAATTGTACATTTTTCACTTGATTGTAAACACTGGCTTAACTTTAATGGATTTGATTAGTTGATTGTTTTTGTTTTTGTTGTTGAATTAATTTGCTAATGATTAATTGTTACGAGTAAATTACAGCTAGAAATACTTTCCATTTGATTGTTAATTTATCAATAATTGATTGTTGATACCTTGTAATTGAAATGTTTCCACTTTAATTTGTGTGGAAAACTTTTTCCACATAGTTAATTGTCTATTAATTAGACTCGTAATCAAATTGAATCTAATTGATTACAATGCTAATTAATAATTTGTTAGGTCTAGTCTACTGTGGGTGTCAAGATTCAAGTATTCAAGAGACAAATAAATTGCTACAATTAATTGAATAATTAATGAGACAATCATCAGATTGTTACTTGTATCATCATCACAGGTAATCAAAACATGATGATGATTATGATGATGATTACTTTTGAATAACAATTTAACTCGTTATGTTATCACAATTGTTATAACAAGCTAATCATGATTAAAGTAATTGTAACAATATTAAATTGTTGATTATATCAATACATTAGAGTGTAATAAAATTAATAAAAAGTTTCCAGAGTTAAAGTAAATTGTAACTAGTTAGTAAATTGTTGTTGGTTAACCTTAAAGAGTTATATCTTTATTTACGGATAATTTGTGTTATGTAAGGAAAAAAAATACATTTTCCATGAGGAAAAAGTTCTGATCATGATAATCATTATGATCATGAAGTTGAATGAATGTTACAGGTAATCTCATGATGAGAAAGTAAAACCTTTGGTCTTCAAGTTGATCTTGATCATCCACCTCCTCTCATGGGTAACATTAAATTCAATGACCGAGAACATGGTAAATATCAAAATAAGTACCATGAGATTCAAGAATCACCCAGAACTTTTATTTTCTTTATTATTTTTTGGTCAAACAATCTCAAGAATTGAATTTCTCTTAGGTTACTTTATCCACTTCGTAACATTTATTACCAATTTCTACTCATAATAATGATCTTAATCATTAACACTTAATTAACTTGCAAAGGTAGACATTTAACTTTACTTAAATTGAGTATGAAAATTTTATCACTTGAACCTTTTAAATCTCCCAACTTTTTTTCTCAATAATATTTTATCATAGTAATTAACCATTTCATGCGTAAATTTTGATTCTCTCATCAAATCAAACTGATTACCAGCAATTAAACTTTCATCTTGAACAATTTATCAACCTTATTAACGATCACTGCTTGTCTATTGCTTATTTACTGAGGCTTATGAATTTTATCCCATATACAATAACTGTGAATTTCAAATCAGTCTGAATCTTGAATTTCCATCAATTCAAAGTGAAACAGTGAAATCAATATCACATGATTTCTCCCCTGAATTCCATGTTGAATTATCCTTCCATCTGCTGATGTAAGAATTGATTTCATATTTCCATGACTCTATTTTTTATCCACCGAAACAATGAAGATGAAGGGTTATGATATAATCTGGTAATTTTTTTCTCTCTCAAGAAATCATGAATCAGTTGAATCGTTTCAAATTGATGATAACTTTCAATTCAATTGGCCGATAAAATGTCAGATAAAATATGTCCCCCTGGATTGTCTGAATCTGAAGTAATAAAAAAAAGTCTCTTTCTCTCAGTATTAATAGTAATTCTGATAAGTTTCATTTTCTTTGCTGAATATCTATTATTATTATTACTTATGTGTCTCCATTGTTACAATCATAAATATAAAATAAGGTCAAACTTGAACTGACCAAAGCATTATAATGATTATCATTATTTGCTATTGGCCTTGTGTCCAAGTTTTTATCCATATCATTGTCATGTTTAACCGGAAATTTGTTTCATATCATATTATTATTATTGAGCTTATATTGAGCATGATGACGATTATGATGATAAGAGTGAGAGATAGAGGGTTAAGATGATGGAAGTAGGTAGTGAGAGAGAAAAGATATTCTCAGAATCCTTTTCATCTTAACAGGATTAGCCTTTTGGATTAGATGACCAACTACTCTTTCTGCTTACAAATGTCCAGTCCTCAAAAGAAAGAGAAAGAGAGATAACTTAACTCTCTCATTCGGTGTCCTTTTTATCCATTCCAATGATTCTCATAAACTCCCAGTTGATTCTCAGTTTTTTTTTCTTTTACTCCCATAGAATTATCATCTTTTTTTGTCTCTTTCTCTACCAGTTTAGATTCGAACAAAAGAAAATGTTCGATTAAGTTGAATGGTCACTCCTCCATGAAAGACTCTCATCTTCATCTCACTATCCCATTCCTCTTATGATGACATATTCTCTTTCTATTTGTCTTTCCATTATCAAGTTTTCACTTTGACCAATGGCTCTCAATAGTTTTCCTTCATCTTCATCTTCATCTCTCAAAATCCATTTTCATCATCAACTGGATTTACTCTTAATCCTGTCATGTTGATGGCTCATTTCATTGCTCTACGTGTTTGGACACTTTTCCCTTAACGAAGATTATTGTTATATATTATTATCATTCACCATGATGATGATGATGATTACTATTATTATGTAACTTTGGCAAAAGAAGGCCCAATGAAAAAGTTGATACTTCGCTTCTACTTTCATGGTAACATCATTTAGTGATAATTTAAGTTTCATAGTGAAAGAGGAAACAACATATCAGAATGGAAGAAAAATGATGAGGATGACTGGCAAAAGAATTTGCATGAAAAAAAGAGAAGATGATCAGAAAGAAGAAGATGATGGTGAAAAGAGAATGTAAATAGACAGATGAATGGAAAGAGATAGTGAGAGAGTGAGGGAGATGATAGAAATTGTTAACTTGAAGATGAGGAAATTTACAGAGAAAAAGATTGAGACAAAATGAAGGAAGAATGAGAGAGAGATGATGATCAAGTGAAGACGGAAGATGCAAAGTGCTTAGTTATCATAATAAGATAATAGTAAACAACAAATAATCAAAGTGAATATAAAATATTCACTATTATCCAACCCAAAAACTGTTCCTATTTTCATGGTTTTCAAATCGTTTAAAGTTCACCCAAAAATTGACTGATCATGAAGAAGATGATGATGATTTGCAAATGATGAGGATGCTGACGGTTGAAAAAAGGGAGCGACCAATGTTGATATTCAAACAATAAAAGTTTCCAAGGAAAGAACAAAAATTTCAATCAATTTACATTTTCATGTGATCTCATTGAATGTTTATCTTATCATTATTTTCATGGTGAAACTTATAAGAGATGAAGCCAACCGGCAATGATGATGATGATTAACTTTGATTTTAATTGGATTGTTAGTTAATCATCACAATATTAAAACTCACACCCACTAATCAAAGTTGATTTTTGTTTACCTTGATTATTTTTATTACCTTTTATGTCAACTCACAATTAATAGATTCTCAACTTGGAACTGAACTTTTGTTTCTTCATCTCTGTTTATTTATGCTCATCATTTACATGATGCTAATAATCAGCATTAATTTGATGTTTCCTTTTCATTCTGTCTATTCAATGTTTTTGCTTAACTAATCAACTGACAAGTTGATTGTTGTTGTGTTAATTAGTTCAATCAATTGGGAATCAAATTAAGGTTCAAAGTTGAATATAACAGGAGAAATTAGCTAGGTAAAAAAAATCATCTCTCATAATTTCACATGAATACAATTTAATTAAATTGCTCTGATCATTGAAACCATAAAAACACTACAATATAAACCATGTACTTAATGATAAACTTTTCTCAGAACTTTAGAATGATTCATTTTCTACCCTGTAAACTGAATTTTAAAGGAAAGATCTATGAATTATACATCATATTCAATTCTCGAAGAAAATTGTTTTCTCTCTCTCAGACTCGCATGCTCTCTGTCATTTGCATATTGAGTTGATTCAATTAAACGTTGAATTGAAAGTCTTCATGGTTAAGATGAAAGAAAAGGTAAAAAGTTGAACTGAATATGATGAATATTGAATCGGTTCAAGAGAAATCAGCTGATTGTAATCAACTAATCATCTTAACCTGAAAACAGTAGCATTTAAAAAAGTTAAGCTAATGAGTTTCAATTAAGATTAACTCTTGAAGTTGATTAACTT